CCCAGGAAGAGGCAGTCACCTGACCAAGGCTAGAAACTGGCTGGACTAAAAAGCAAACTCCCCCCTGTAGAGGCCAAGCTTTTAACCAGCCCTGCGCTGACAGCCAGGCAACAGCGAAGGGGCAGAGAACACGTGCCTGGCAGAACCACAAACAAGAGCCAGATTCTCTGCTTCAGTCAAGCTGCGTGGATGGAGACTCAGGAGAGGACAGTAGGGCTGGGCCCTGGGTGGAGGCAAAGAAGTGGGGCAGGATGCCCGCTCCTGCCAGAGAGAGGCAGTCATTGCTGCTCATGCGATATTCCCTGGGACATGCTCTAGAGCAAGGGCACCCACCCCTATTGTTTCAGAGTTTTCTTTTTAAATTTTAATTTTCAATTATAGCTGATATCCGATATTATTTTATACTAGGAGCCCAGCACACGAGTCGCTGGTCTGGCCCTGCCTCCCTCTCCCGTCCTTGAAGCAGCCCCAGCTGCTGCTGATCAGGCCCTCCCCAGCGCAGGCCTGTGGGGGCTCCTGCCACCCCACCCCCGACACTGGGCACACAACCTCCTCCTGTCTGGTTGACCCGTTACGGTGTCTGGGTTAATTAGCATATTTCTCTATTATATATTTAGATTTGTTTCAGGTGTATAGGTTTTTCCAAAGCTGGGGAAGAGATTGGAGCCACTGAACTGAAGGTGGAGGTGAGGGGGATGACTGGGGGAGGGGGATACAGACAGGAAGGCTTTGGCCAAGAGTCAGAAGTCACAAAGATGAGCTCCAAGATCAAGGGCCTGGCCTCCACCACACCTGGGCCTGTGGAGACAGAATTGCCAGATAGCCGGTCTACCAGCAACGCACTGGGATTTCTTCAAGGGTTTTATTGCCAAGGAAATGTCTATAGCCCGCAAAAGGGGCCTAGACTCCCCCAGCCTTCACAGAAATCCTCAGGCTTCTTCCACAAATGTCCCAAAACCGTATCAACAGGAGGAGGCTGCCATATGGGCACTCCCACTCAGGCACAACCACGGGACATCCTACTGCAGAGCAGGACCACGGGCTCCCAGACTGATTGGCCAGAACACTCCACCCCCAGGGCAGGGAGCCCTTGCCCACCCCTACCTGCAGGGAAAAGTATACAACTTGCATCCGTGACTGCTGTGTGCGATGTTCCCTTCACTCTTTCCCCAAATGGCAGTGACCGCTGTACCTGCTTCTTCAACTGTGACATGAGATAATATTCTTACTTACCACATGGTATTGTTGTGAAGATTACGTTACATAAACAATGCTTAGATCTCGTGGCACAGAGTAAGTGCTCAATTAGTGTTGGATGTGAGCTGTGTTGTGGTGGCCTGGGTCTGTAGGAAATAGCTAAATTGTTCATTAATTTTTAGATTGTCAGAAGGGAGCAGTCACCCATGGACTTAGGAGGGCTGGAGGTGCCCTGACCATCCTGGACTGGGGACTCAGTGAGCTGTGGGGTACCCTTTGGATGCAGTAGCTGGATCTGATTTTTGCCTGTTTCCCTTGGGGAAAAGATGGGTAAGTCTCTCTCTCTCTCTCTCTCTTTCTCTCTCTCTCTCTCTCTCTCTCTGTGTGTGTGTGTGTGTGTGTGTGTGTGGTTTTTTTCTGTTTTTTTGTTTGTGTGTGTGTGTGTGTGTGTGTGTGGTTTTTTTCTGTTTTTTTGTTTGTGTGTGTGTGTGTTTATGGGAAATATAATTCGGATCATTCTTTAAAATGTATAAGAAGGGCTATGTTTACAGGGGAAGCCACACTTGAAATTGAAGACTCAGTATAACCTTTATAATAAAGTATTAGTCATAACAAAACATAACTATTCATTCTACAGATTATCATTTTCCCCATGCCCTTCTTATATATTTGGGGGGCAAAGGATGAAGGGAAATGAACATCCATGGGATGTTCTCTAGTATCTGAACCCCATTTTGTGACACTGCCCCCAAACCCCCTCCGGGCCAGTGATTCCTAACAATAGAAATGCAAGGACTTGTGTGTTTCCGTTTTCCTGGAATGAAGGTGCTGAAAAGGAAACGGTGGGGGAAGTCAGAAAACAGGGAGGGACAGGTTGTGGTGGTGCATGACTGCCAAGCTGTGGGGTGTAGACTTCATTCTTTTATTCAGAATGGTAAGGAGGTGGAGGTCCCCCACCACACCCCTCTTTGGTGACGTCCAATAGCTCTCACAGCCTGTGCTCCGCACCTGGCCCCTCCTGCCCCATGGTTACCACCGCTGCCCATTCACGAGTCCCGGCCGGCCTTCCCTGGGAGACAGGCAGCTACCCTTGCATGGCCGGTCTCGCGCTTCACCTGTTTCCTCCCGGCTCTGGCACAGCCAGGGGACACAGCTGGTGTAAGTACCTAACAGACAACAAACGCTGATGTAGATTCACTTTATTGAAGAGATTTTCTCCTAGAGTTCTAAACACAAAATGAATGCTGTTGGGGCAAGTGCTTCATAAGCATCGTTGCATTTAAATGAACCATAGGATAATGTTTACAGGGGAAGCCACACTTGAAACTGAAGACTCAGTACAACCTTTATAACAAAGTATCAGTCATAACAAAACATAACTATTCATTCTACAGATTATCATCTTCCCCAGCATGACCACTGGATATGAAAACATTGTATAGACATCTAAGAGCCCCCTAATTTTTTTTTTTTTAGAAAAATGACACAGTAATACAAATTACATTTTCCAAATCTTTACTAGAAACAAACTATGACATCCATTTTTGAAAAAGCACCAGTCGACCCTACCAAAGTAATGACTGCACACTTTTGCTCCTCGGAATTGACAATCTTATACATTTCATCTGTCTCCTGTAGGAATGAGTGAAAATGGTTTAATCAAGTGCCTGTGTCAATGGGTGCGTATTTTATATCGTGCTCTAAAGTAAACACAAGAAAATGAAAAACACACACTCTTATGTGAATGAAACATACGGATGGAAAATACCCTAAAATAGTTAGCACAAAGGCAAATTCAACTGACTTTTAGTCAGCACTAGTGTCTTAAGGATAGTTTCTTTATTAATACTTGTTACGGAAGTGTTTTAAAGGCATAGGTATAAATGCACATGCAAGCAGCTTGCCTCTCTCTGCATACCCACTTCCCTAGCTTTGCTTCTCCATTTCAAGGGCTCAAGCTGCTGAGCCCTTAGCTACATGGGCTATAGTGCCTAGTAAGCATCCTATATAATAAAGGGGTAATATGCAAATCGACCGAACAGCGGAATGACCGGTCGCTATGATGCACACTGACCACCAGGAGGTAGACGCACAATGCAAGAGGTGCCTCCTGGTGGTTAGTGTGCTCCCACAGAGGGAGCACCGCTCAGCCACAAGCCAGGCTGACGGCTGGTGAGTGCATGGCAGTTAAGGGAGCCTCTTCTGCCTCTGCAGCAGTGCTAAGGAAGTCTGACTGACGGCTTATGTCAGCTCCCCACAGGAGCAGGCTTAAGCCATCAGTCAGACATCCCCTGAAGGCTCCCAGACTGCTAAAGGGTGCAGGCTTAGCTGAGGGACTCGCCCCACCCCGCAAGTGCATGAATGTCATGCATCAGCCCTCTAGTTTTTAAATAAAGAAGATCACATAATTTTTTCCCCCAAAATTAAAGAGGTACAGAAAAGACCATGGAACATAGTGAGGAAAAAAAGCATACCATCAAAAACAAAAGTATGATGTTCAAATTTATAGAAAAGCTATTTCACGTCTGTTAGTAACTCACTAATGGGCAGATTGGACCAGGACTGAAGAGGCAGCCAAGCCAGGGGCCCTGTGTGCCTGACACAAGTGGACATCTTTGAGGGGTGCTCTATCGTTATGATTACGGTGACCACTTTCACAAGGTGGTAGGCTCTTCAAGGTCAGAGACGTGGCATATTGATATCTGTACCCCCGGTTCTTAGCATTGTCTTTCACATGACAGACACACAGTAAACATTTCTGGGGACTGGGCTCATTGCCTCCTTTCTTTCAAAACCGTTTTTGGGAACTACCTATTCACCTAATTCATTCAGTCCGCTAAGGCGGGATGACAAATAGGCTTCATCTCCCTGACGGACGGCAGTGGATGCCTAGACGTGGTGATGATGTGGATTCTACAACCGAGTCCTGGCACAGAGGAAAGGAGTGCCGCTCGCTCGGAATGCCACCTTGAGAGGATGGCACAGATGCTCCAGATGCCCCGCCCCCAGCTGGAAGGCATGCAACACTCACCCATGTTACCTTTCTGTGGCTATGCTGCTTCTCAGATGCTCTGCTCTAAACCACTGCTCACTGCACGCTGGCTGACCAGAAAGGCCAAGGCCTTGCCCCTCCAACTACCTGTGCCGCAGCAGGCAGAGTCACGCCTTTGCCTGGAAACTTGAAAACACAGCATCCACAGTGCTCAGTGAGTGAACGTTTACTGAAAGAGAACAAGCATTTTCTTGATCGTTTGCTTGAGATTTGTCTATCTCAGTATGACTTTAATTGATATCTAAGGCATTTGGAATTACTTGAGATTTGGGTTCCAAAATAAATGGCAGAGTTACAACTCTCTTTGGTATTCAGGCGCAATCTTCATCTGCTTGTTTCCTTCTAGTATCCATAACCTTCTCAGTACTTCATGGTTATGACTGAACCAACACTGTTGAAATAACCAACTCTCACCCATTCACCCCAAAAACTTTCAAAGAACATGAAAGAGAGAAGCCTCTGAAACTAAAGGTGTTGAAAAGAGAGCCAGAAAGAATGACAGAAAGAACCAGTAACGCCCCTCTCTCTACCAGTCCACGCTCAGGACTCACGCTGCCATTCAGACCATTCTCAGTGAACAAGGGGGCTTCTCGCAGGGTGGCCACCATGGGGAGCCTCTCAGGAACCCCCTCTCCATAATGGGAGGTTAGCACTCCACAAAAAGGATCTCAGAGCCAAAACTGGTTTGGCTCAGTGAATAGAGCGTCAGCCTGCGGACTGGAAGGTACCAGGTTCAATTCCGGGCAAGGGCATGTACCTTGGTTGCGGGCACATCCCCAGTAGGGGGGGTGTGCAAGAGGCAGTTGATCAATGTTTTCTCTCATCGATGTTTCTGACTCTCTATCCTTCTCTCTTCCTCTCTGTAAAAAAATCAATAAAATATATATTTTTTAAAAAGTATCTCAGAAAAGAAAATGCCTTTAGAGAAAGGAAGAAAAACCAAGGGATAATATCAAAGAGCAAAATCCTGGGGGTGAGGGGAGATTTTCAAAGCAACATCAGTTTTCACATAGGTAGTCTTCACTGGAACACTGGCCCCAACACGGAAACAGAGCTAAATTAAAATGACCCTCAAAATGTCAACACAGCTCATATGCACTGCAGGAAAGAGGGTGTCCCAATCCACTGGTCCATTCCTATTGGACATTCCACCTTGCACACACTGCTGGCAGTCCAGAGCAACAAAACCTTATGAAAAGTCAGCATATGTTAGAGAGAATTATAATATCCCAGCCTACACACACACACACACAGTGAGAGAGGAAAGAGAGAGAGAGAGAGAGAGAAAGAGAGGGGGGGTACATGTACATACAAAGCAAACCTGATTTATAAAAAGAGCTTTGTAGATCAGAGTATGCCTTCCCTTGGGCCAAGAATCTAGTTGTTGGAATTAGGAAAACGGACCCAAAGAATGTAATCAGGAAGAGAACTAGTTGGCAGGACTGACATTGTATTTCATATAATATTTACAAGCTAATATCCAATTGCTTGTCTAGAACTAATTCAACTGGCCAGAATCTTCTAAATGCAAAATGTCAAGCCTTAAAAGTTATGCTCTGTAGCAACAAAAGTTAACACTATCTAAAATAAATTATATTTTTTAAAATACATGTAATGAAATTATAGGTCACTAGAAATTCAATTCTATAATGAATATAAAGTAATATAAACCTAGTGTTAAAGTACCATTCCCAGGAAGATTTCAGCGCAAAAAAATTAAAAGGCTACATATTTGAGAATAAACGGATATGGCTTAGAAATCCTTAGATTTCTGAGTACGGAGGGGTGTTCTATTGTAGGACTAGATGTTGACAAGATACAAAGATCTGTCTCCACAATAAAGGCTTACCTCACTTTACCCAGCAGTGTTCCTGAAAAGTTGTGCAAATAGTTTTTACAGCCAGATCCTCGTTTTAAATATGCCAGAAGGCCACGACTGTAGGCACCCTGGAGTGAGCCCTGAAAGACAGAACTGTTGCAGCAGCAGCTCCCTTAGACCCCGTCTGCAGTGGGAAGCATCTGCGGTGCTGAGCGTGTCGGGACCCTGTCCGCTTTCCTGCCGGCTCTCCCGAAGGGAGGCGCGCTAACTGGAATGTTAGGGTGGAATCCAGTGCACAGCTGACCTGGTTCCGTTACAAAAGATCAGAGAAGTTCAGAAAGTGTTTTCCAATCAAAACAAATTTCCTGTAAGTATGTGCGTGTTTTTTAAGAAATGCTGATCTATGATGGGCAGAAGCTTTTATCCACTGTTAACTGACTTACTAAAAACACGCAACTGCTTGAACTGGGCTCCCTGGGACTTAACAATCAAGTGGAGCTCCTTACCCAACTTCAGAAATAGCCCCGGATGCCACACCACCTCTGTCAGAGCCTCGTCCCCGCTCTCCAGCGCAAGCCGTTCACAGCTTCCTTCACCCTACCCCACCAAAGCAAAGCGCGAATTCAAAGGCTAAAAGTAAATTAGAAAGATGCTTGGTCTAAATAGGATAAGGTTATTTTTTTTTTTTTAAGTCTTAAAAAGAAAGAACTAAGTCAAATACAATCAAAGTAACTCTTAAAAGGTGGTTATTTTTCTTATTGGGTGCTTTCTTTCCCTCTGAATTTACGACTCCACTTTAAAATATATATGGATGCGTCCTTCTAAATAATATATCCTCTATTCAATAAGCAATGCAACTTCTCTGGCCATCTATCTGCTACCTGCCACATAAATGAAATAAGGGCTTTTATCTGTCTATTTACTCAGCATTTTATAATTGCAAAATAAGACTGGAAAAAGCACTGAGGAAGTTTTTATGCAAGTTCTGGAGGCTTGCAAGGCTTCACTGTAGGGTTCCATCACTGTATGTTTCCTGGAAGGTAGTGTGCAAATAAGGTATCTGAACATTGTATGCGTGGTTATAATTGGGGGAAAGGTGGAGACAATAGTGTTAATACAACTGTTTGTCAAGTAAATTAATAAACAACAACTACAAAAAAAAACACTCACTTATGGTATTAGGATATTTCAAGTGACTGAAATGAAACAGATTTTAAAATCATCTTTACCGTTCTCGCCAATTACTGACTTTGGCCCTTTACGAAGCAGACACAATGCATCTTCTTTTCAATGATCCGTTTTAGTCACTGGCTCACGGTTATCCTAGCTGGATGAAAACATGATCATGGATTTGCTCCCATAATTTAAAAACCAAATAATTAAAAAAATAATAGTGTTGGTCTCTCTTTCTCCACAAGTTTTCAAGTAATTAGTTCAAGTAAGCTTATTTACAGCTGCTGTCTATGTGACCGATGAAGTCAGCCTCCATGGAAATGGGGCCCTACGTCTCGTTTTTGTCTTGAACCAGGCTTCTTGTGACTGCTAAGCCGCTTCAGTCATGTTTCCGTTTTATTGGGCAGATAGAGAGAGGACACCAGCAAGTTGTGTCCAAAGGCCGGAAAACGCCTGAATGCTTCCCAGCTATCGGCGAAGATGTTGTACTTGAGGAACACGCGATGCTCCAGGCTGGTGGACAGGGTCACGTCTCTGCTCATGATGTAGATGCCGTCGTTGTGCAGCGCGCAAGTCAAGTTGAGGCCCGACTTGGACGTGTTCTCCTTGAGGTAGAGCCACTGCCGGGTGACCGTGTTGTAGGACTGCACGGTGAGCATGTCCTCGCTCTGGCTGCTCCTCCGGTTGGGCCCCAGTTCGTGGAGACAGCCCCCCACGATGTAGATGGTCTCCTCCACTGACACCATCTGCTGCTTGCGGATGTGGACGTCGCACGTTTCAAAGAGGGTCCAGATGTCGGCGGAGGGGCAGTACTGCAGAATGTTCATGTTCCGGTCTGAAACGAGAAAAGAGAGGCCAATTCTGACACGGCCGCGAGTGAACACCACCAGCTGCCCAGGCTGTGTATCACCACCAACCTCCCCCCACCCCGATAACCTGGCGCACAGAGGCACCGCTGTTTCAGACAAGCAGAGGCTGGGAACACAGTTTCGTCAATGGCTGGGAGATCCGTTTAGAATCGTCCCCACTCACTTCGCATGCACACACGTCCCCGCCCCTGGGATGCTCTCAGAATCAGGGAGACCAGCGAGGTGAGAAGTTGTAATCTGGGCATGTCCCCTGCTCCCTGACACCCTCACACCTTTTATTTATTTATTTGTTTGTTTATTTACTTACTTTTAAAGACACTTCTTTTTTATGTCTATCTCTGATTCTTTGACAGAAGCTTGTTGGATTTTTTAATATATATATATTTTTATTGACTTCAGAGAGGAAGGAAGAGGGAGAGATAGAAACATCAATGATGAAAGCGAATCATGGCCCAAACCGGTTTGGCTCAGTGGTAGAGCGTTGGTCTGCGGACTGAAAGGTCCCAGGTTCGATTCCGGTCAGGGGCATGTACGTTGGTTACGGGCACATCCCCAGTAGGGGGTGTGCAAGAGGCAGCTGGTTGATGTTTCTCTCTCATCAATGTTTCTAGTTCTCTATCTCTCTCCCTTCCTCTCTGTAAAAAATCAATAATATATATATATATATATTTTTTTTTTTTTTTTTTTTAAAAGAAAGAAAGAAAGCAAATCATGGATCGACTCCCTCCTGTACACCCCATACTGTAACCCAGGCATGTGCCGAACTCCTGGTTCAAAGGTCGATCCGCGAAACCAGGGCAGCCGGGCCCTTACACATTTTAGAACCACCAAGCCAATCAATGTAAGGAGAATCAGAGCCTCAGAAACTTCATCAATACCTACAAACCGCTGACTATGTAATACAGACAGGTGATCTATTCTTTTTTATTTTTTTAATTATGCATCCCAGTGGCATTTTTTTATTTTTATTTTTTATTTTATTGATTTTGTACAGAGAGGAAGGGAGAGAGATAGAGAGTTAGAAACATCGATGAGAGAGAGTCATCGATCAGCTGCCTCTTGCACACCCCCTACTGGAGATGTGCCCGCAACCAAGGTACATGCCCTTGACCGGAATCGAACCCAGGACCTTTCAGTCCCCAAGCCGACGCTCTATCCATTGAGCCAAACAGGTCCCGGCCAGCGATCTATTCTTGACAATGGATTCTACAAAACCAGACAAGTGAGCAGATTTCTTATGGGCTGTCAAAAGGACAGAAAACGTCAGGAGAAATGCAAGTCTCACCTCTGGCTGTCAAGCCTTAGAATCACTGGCCATTCCACTTCCCAACTGTTAACACAGAGACACACTGACAAAGGCCCTTCCCTTCCCTGGCCCGTTTCACAGGAGACAGCCATGGTGTGGATAACATCAGACAGCAGAAGAGACTGCTGGCTCTGACATTACTCTGAATGAAGGGGAAGCACTGCCTGCTCTCTTTTTAAAAATGCGTGTGAAATGTAAAATATTTAGTTTTGCCCTACCAGAGTAACTCAGGTGGTTGAGCATCCTTCCGTGCATTGAAAAGTTGCTGGCTGGATTCCCAGTCAGGACACGAACCTGGGCTGTGGGTTTGATCCCCAGTTGGGGAGCCTACAGAAGGCATCCGATCAATGTTTCTCACACTGATCTTGCTCTCTTCCTTCCCCTCTCTAAACATGTCCTCAACTGAGGATTAAAATTATAATAATAACAAATAATAATATATATCTAGTTTCATTTTTCTTTTCTTTTTTCCTTTTCTCCTCTAGGAAAGAATAGACTATTTTAGCCTCACCAGGGGAGAGAGGGAAGTGCTGAGTTATCAGAAAGAATGAACTTCTCGTGTGTTGTGTTTTATTTTATTATTTTTTAAAGTATATTTTTATTGATTTCAGAGAGGAAGGAAGAGGTAGAGAGAGCTAGAAACATCAATGATGAGAGAATCATTGATTGGCTGCCTCTTGCACGCCCCCTACTGGGGATCAAGCGCACAACCTGGGCATGTGCCCTTGTCTAGAATAGAAACTGGGACCCTACAGTCCGCAGGCTACTGCTCCATCCACTGAGCCAAGCCAGCCAGGGCTGTGTGTTGTGCTTTAAAAAAACAACACAATCTATCAGTGTAAGACAGTTCAGCGAGGGAACTGACAGTACGCACAAGTGGACAGAAAGTGGGAGCAATGGAAGCTGCGCTTCTACCTGAACCGGAAGGACCCGCCACAGGGCAATGGTTAAAGAGCTCCACCACAATGTCCAGTGCCAAGACAAGTGCCTGCAAAGGGGGCCCAGAGGGGATGGAGAGGAGACCAGCACAGACCTGCAGGAATTTCAGAACTGCTATAGCTTAAGGGAACTGTCCTCCTGTTTCCCACCCACCCTAATCCCACCCCCACCCCCCAATATTTTTTTTTATTTTTTATTGCAGCTTTTGTGACAAAGCTCAATCTAGGAGACAACCCCGGGAAGATTGGTTGCTGATCTATCAGAAAGTGCTCCTTAGTAACTTGGCTTCCCACGGCATGAATGAAAGACTTATTCTGGTGAAGCGTCAGTCTTTCTCATTTCCAGGTCGGAAGGTCCTTCCAGGTCTCCTGTAAACGTTTTCTCTCCTCACCCAACAAGGCTCAGACCATGAGGAGGTGGTTTGAGTTGGAGGAATGACCTTTTCTCTTTTATATGCAGAGTTGATTCTGACGTTTAACTAATTACCCTTCTTCCCTTTAGTAGCTTCTACTACTTTCGAATGAATTTTTTTAAGTCTTTAGTGCCTGCCCAAGAATTATAATAGTCAAATAACTATCATAAAAATCATGAACTATAACTTTTCTGAATTTTGAAAGTCTCACCTAATGAAGCCAGCAGGCTGAGAACCCAATTTGAAGTCCAGAGGGTTTGTGTGTGTATTCTGTGTGTTTTTTTCATAACAATTATGGTTTGTTTTATGTACAAAGAACTGTTAGGAAATGCTGGGAAGAGGCTAACCAGTGGAGAGGGCAGCTTCAGCGTACAAGGAACTGCCCTGCCCTCTCATCTTAGAAAACTCGTTTTCAGCGCTTACACAAACATCCCTCCATCCACCTCGCCTCACCATCCCATCATGGGCCTTTGGCTTGGGGAACCTGGGACAGGAATCACAGTGGGTGGCCCGAGGGAAAGGGTACATTCGCCGTGGCTTTTGAAACTAGAAAACACACAAGCCGGGGCTTTCCAGGTCAGATCTAAAGAACACTGGCTCAGCCAGGGTCATGGAAAACTGGGCCATCTCCCAGCAGGGCAGTCTGGGTCACCGTGCAGCCTGCCAGGCTTCACAGCTCCCGCTCGGGAGGGCGGCCCGGAGGTCTGTGTGCGTAGGACAGCCCGCCGTGCGCACGCTGTGTTACAACAGCCGGAGGGGAGTCAGAATTCTTGGAAATGTTCACGAGTGACTAGCTGTACTTACTGTCTTCAGAGAAAAGACACAAGCACGGGGGTACGTATGCGCACACAGGAATTCTCAAGAGGCTACGGTTTACTTAAGCACATAAAGTTGGCCACTGCAACCTGAACACCAATGTGGAAGATGAAAGAATTGAGCCCTAGCCAGTTTGGCTCAGTGGATACAGCACTGGCCCGTGGACTGAAGGGTCTCCAGTTCAATTCTGGTCAAGGGCACGTACCTCAGTTGTTGGCTCGATCCTGGGCCATGGTCAGGGAGCGCATGCGGAGGCAGCCAATGGACAGGTCTCTCTCACATCGATGCTTCTCTCTCTCTCTGTCTCTCCCCCTCCCTACCACTCTCTTAAAAAATCAAAAGGAAAATATCCTTGGGTGAGGATTAACAAAAGACAAAGAAAAAGAGAAAAGGATTGAGTGCTAGGATTCACCCTCCCCCCCCCCCCATTATTTGTAAAGGGAAGCTGGTAATTACCCGGTTTCCCCAAAAATAAGACAGTGTCTTATATTAATTTTTGCTCCCAAAGATGCCCTAGGTCTTATTTTCAGGGGATGTCTTATTTTTCCATGAAGAAGAATACGGTACACATTTATTGTTAAATGAAAAAAAGGGAAATTTATTACCTGTATACGGTACGGTAGTACGGTAGTTGTCAACACAAACCAGACAAACTGTGAGTCCTACAGTATCAAGAATTTACTCATTTATTCAATGACACTCATGTCATCATCTTCTGGAACAACATCATAACAATCCAATTCCTGAATTTCCTGGTGAATTTCTTGTGACTCCATTTCTTTCAGAATCAGTGGACCAAATCTCTCATGTTTAGCCTGGGGGGGGGGGGGGCTTATTTTCGGGGGGATGCCTTATATTTCACTCAGAAGGAAACCTGTAAGTAGGTCTTATTTTCGGAGGATGTCTTATTTTTGGAGAAACACGGTATCTTCAGTGGAGAGTCACTAGGGAGGGACACTGGGAATAGTTCCTGGGAGGAACAGGATAAAAACCTGGGTGGAGCGGGAAGCTCACTGTTTCCCCTGCACTGCTCCTTGTCACTGCCTCTTAAATGTGCAGGCAAACACACCGCTGGTAGTGAGTGAGCTGAATGGTGGCCCTCAAAAAGATACGTCTACCTCCCAACCCCCAGAACTTTGGAATGGGACCTTGTTTGGAGAAAGGGTCCTTGCAGGTCATCCTGGATGACTCAGGTGGGCTCTGAATCTAAGGAGAAGCGTGTTCTTGAAACAAGGCTGGAAGCAGCAAGAAAGGATTTTCGCCCTGGCCGGTGGCTCAGTTGGTTGGAGCACCATCCCATGTTCCACCAAAAATTCACCAGCTGGAATCCTGATCAGAGCATAGACCCACGTGTGGGTTTGACCCTTGGTTGGGGTGTATCTGGGAGGCAACCAGTCCATGTTTCTCTCTCACATCCTCTCACATGTTTCACTCCCTCTTTCTCTCTCTCTTTTTAATATCAATCAAAACATATTAAAAAGAAAGAAAGGATTCTCCTCTAGAGCCTTCTGAGGGAGCGAGACCCTACCGATACCTTGATTTAAGACTTCTGGTCTCCAGAACTATAAGAGAAAACACATTTCTGCTGTTTCAGGATACACGTTTATGGTCACTGGTTAAATCAGCCACAGGAAACTAAAACAGCACCCACCAGCCTCCCCACCAAAGCATCTATTTAGAGTTCGCTCTAAGAAGAATTAATAATAATTTTTTAAAAAGTGAATCAGATGCTCATAAAACACCTTTCATTCAACTTCTTCCTCTAACATAAATCCCCAAAACAAGACGCAGTTGGTTATGGTGAAAAGAATGTTTGTCCCCTGTGCCTGTATCAGCATGTGGACTTCTGTCCTGTACTAAGTTACATGTGGTCGCCTACAGCTTCATGGGCCACCAGCATCACTCCCCCAGGCCTGTCCTGCCCATGTCACACCACAGAGAAGTGACAGGTAATCTCATTCTGTCAGAGTGGTCCTTGCGACTTCAATGTGGCCCAAAACGTCCTAGTAGTCCAGTTACTCCTTTTCTGAAAATTCTGGACATTCTACAATCAGACAAAGCAAATGAAGAAATAAATCTTCTTGGAAATATCAGCTTTATGGGGGAGGTGAGAGATCAAAGGAAGGGCACCTCCTCCTGGTGGCCCGCCATTGCCTTTCTCCCCACAGCCAGGCTGGGTTCTGCCAATCGCCTGTGAGAGGCTTCCTGCTACGCAGAGCTGTATAAAACCTGCTGGAGGAACGTTTTTCTCCAAACTGATGAACTATCAAATGCCCACCAAAAACATGGAAAACACATATGCACAGTTTAATAAGTAGCAGAACCAACTCCCACCCGCCGGTCAGAAAAGAACCTTCTCCTGTCAGGTTCTCTTGCTCCTCCTATATGTGTAAGCAACAGCGGAGAGCTGCGTTTCAGAATCTGCAGCTCATATGCTTGTGCTCAGGAACGGAGCAAATGAAAACAAATCTCTGCAAAGCTGCCTGGCACTGATTCCATAGTGTTGCATGGGAGGTGGGAGGGAGATTCATGTGTGTTGGGGGAAAGTGGGGGAAAGGATGGGAATGTCCCAGCCAAGTCATAAGATGACAAACTATACGGCCAGCTTTCCAGAGCAGAAATACACATTTTCTTCACAGTTCTCCCTACCCCGTTCAGAGGCATCAAAGGCCCCTCCTGTCCAAACCACCCTGTCACACAGGACCCGCTTCCCCCCGGAGGTGTAAGTACACAGCACGTCATGCACAAGATCGCACTTGTGTACACCGGAGTGTTTCCTCTGGCAGCCTCTGCCCTTCCCCGGCTGCCTGCAAAGCTGACATAGGAGAGGACCACTTATGTGGCCCCTTCACTCACCTTTGGTCGTATATCCTCCAATGACATAGATTTTCCCTTTGCACTCGCACGCAGAGAACTCAGCCAGAGGATTGGGTAAGGGTGCGACAAAATTCCACGCATCCTGCTCGGGATTGTAACACTCGACATTGGACACGACCTGCCCGCCGATGGCGTAGAGTTTATAATTAACAGCCACAAGTTTGAAGTTAGACCTGAAAGACAGAACACAAGGGTTCACAAAGTCGGTTCTCCTGGCATGAACTTGTTTTAAAGAAATAAGACGTCCGCAGGAACTGCCAAAGCACAGCGTGGAACGTGTCGGACGGCAGGAGGAAACTCGCTGTCCATGTTGGGTGACATCCTGCCCGGGACAGAGGAATGGCCAAAGGGCATCTCAAATCTCACTCTGGTCCCCAGAAGGCCACAAGAATGGCGCATTCTCCAAACTTCAGCAACTGAAGGTAAGCATTCAATATAACAAGAACTGATCTTGCTTAGCCTTACACCAGAATCAAAGTTACCCTGTTTACTAAACTCTGTTTACTAAACCTTCTTTTCAGGAGCAAGACCAAGTGTTAAGGGAGAAAAGTACCCACTCCACTCCCTTGTCTCTCTACTCAGAATGTTTACCTCATTTTTCCTACTACGTGGGTAGGCTCCATCTGGGGTAGTCACCAGCACTGCTTACACAGACAGGGGTCTGCAAAGTGTGTTTGCTGAAGGGCGATTCAGAGACCCCATTGCCAAGAGCACACCAAAGAGATTGCTGTTCCTTCCTCCTCCACAGGAGGGTATCTTATATGGTGCTTCAAAACAGGTAAGGTGGGCAGGTAAGCACTGAACTGATTAAAACTATTTTGATCCAGCATTCTTAGGGTACTTACACATGTTAACAAATACTTCTATCAACAAGTGCTCACTTATCATTGCGTGAAATTATTTTTAAAAAGAGAAATACACTGATTTCAAGCCCCCTATTCAGTAAGAGAATTAAACGCTGCTCATAGGGTTCGTACGGGGAAGAAGAAACATTTGGAAACACTGGGCCAGTCTACTGTCTCGAGTTCACAATAGTATGAGCAGCAGCATGATGCAACAGAAAGACCTGGGGCGGAAATCAGAACACCAGGGTTTGAGTCCCAGCTCTGATGATAACCAGCTACCTGATGGGCCCAACCCTTCACTTCCTCCTCTCTAGCTTAGGGGTAATATCCAGCACAGAGTGGTCAAAACAATTAGAGCAAACAATTGATCAGAAAATACTACACCGAGATAAGATACTAGCATTATAGTTTCTCCATTTTCTAATATCTATACATATAAAAGCCTAATATGCAGTGTCCCCTCGGGAGTTCAAGAATCTGGGAGTTTGATCACTTGCTGTGACATGCACTGACCACCAGGGGGCGGTGCAGAATGAACGAAGGCCTCGGCTGGCAGCTGGCAGCCAGGGAAGAGAGGCCCCAGCCAGCAGCCGCTAGGGACCCTACCCATGCACTGGGTCTTTAGTATGAAATAAAGAGACTAGACCAGGTGAATTTAGAGGCCACGTCTAAGAACAAAACAATAATTTCTTCAAAAGTAACAATATCCAAAGAAAGGAGGAGACAGAGGCTTCACAGGAGCGAAGAATATAAGAGGGTAAACAAAGAAGCACAGTGCACCAGTGGAGCATGCCTGACCTAAAGGTGTTTGATAAACACTAATGCACTAGGATTCGGGACATCTGTGAGTGATAGCCACCTACTAAAAAACTGAGATTTCTTGAAGCGCTTGTAATGTTTATACCTAAGCAAGATTTAGTTTTGCTTTTCAAATCAGAGAGTGAATAGAGTCCTCTTCATCAAGAAGCCCATACTGTCTATTAAACCCAGCCAGCCATTCCATGTTTCATGCCAACAGACCTCACAGAGGCGGCAACTACTGGGGGGTCCCTGATTCATGTTGCTTACTTTTCCTGCTGCCAATGGTCCTTAAAATCCGACCATGATGCCCTCTCTCTGCGTGCAAATTTGGGGAACCGAGGGAAATAAAGCTTGTAAATAAGCACTGAATTTTAACCAGCCCACAATTTGTTTTTGCTCCGCGTTAGGTACACAGATAGTAAATTTTGTCAGATCAAAACAGTTCTGAGTATTCTCCCAAGCAGCATCATTTGTCCTGAGCAAACATGCAAAGGGCTTCTTTTTGAGGCTGAATGAATAGGCAGTAAAAAGTAAATGCTATCTCTCCAGACCCCAACATGCTCGAATTCACTTGAAGGGGAACGTTTTTTCTACAATGAATTTGTGTCCAGATGAAACTGCCACCCAAAACAGACCTCCTAATGAAGAAGCCTACTGCTAAGGGGTCTGAGCCCAGGCTTGTACAGGTAAATCTCGGCTCCACTGCTCAACAGCTATGTGACCATGGACATGTCATTGGGCCTCAGTTTCTCCACCTGTGAAGTGGGGATAAGAAGAGCACAATATTGCACGTGGTTAGGGTTGACAAGCGTCGTCACACCTGCAGAAGCAGGTCACTTAGAGAAAATGCTTTTCTGCATGTCCTACGCCTGAGTTTGTCCACTTCAGGAGGGTCGGTTTCTCATTGGTCAGCTACACCTGTTATTGGCTGTGATGCACTCGGGGATTCTGCACAAGGTGCTCTCTTATTCATAAATTCTTGTCATTTACCGATTTTCTGAAGATAGTTCCAATTTTTTTAAAAAAATAGTTCTTCTATTCTTCATTTCCTGAATGGTAAAGGTACAAATTCAAGCTATCAATTATTTTAAAATTATGGCCTCTACAGTATTTTTCTTAGTATTGATCCCTGATAGTACATTCAGGAGGCAAAAAGAATTTTTAAAACCAGATAATTTGTTGGAGCTACATACTTGACTTACTTAGTAAACAGAAAAAAAAAAAGTAAGAAAAATTCAATGATTTAATTTCTACGTCACTTAGAAGAAATACAAAGCTCTTTAAATCCTTAAAAGCTAGACCTGGCTAGTGTGGCTCAGTGGATTGAGCACTGTCCCATGCACTGAAAGGTAGCTGGGTCAATTCCAGTAAGGACATATGCCTAGGTTGTGGGTTCGATCCCCAGGAGGTAGTCGATCAATGTTCTCTCTCACCAATGTTTCTATTTCCCTCTTCTTTCCTCTCTCTCTCTAAAATCAATAAAAAACATATTCTTTTTTCAAAAGAATATCCTTAAAAGCTAAGTTATATAAATCATGATAAACACCAGCACACAAATATCTATGATTGATAGCTGTATACAACTATAAGGAGGCAGAGTGGCATAGAGTACTAGCCCTGTGACTACATGCAAGTTAGCTGAACTCAGTTGACCTCAGTTTCCCCTTTGGGGAAATGGGACCAATAACAATACCTAACTCACAGAGATGCTGTGGGCATGAAATAGGAATTGACATCTAAAAGTAAGCAGTGACCACAATATGCTGCCCAGAGTACCAGCTCAATTCGCTGCTATGAATTGCATCTGTTACTGTTACAGTGAAAATCAGAGTGAAATGCCAAGGTCCTTTCTGAGCCATTCAGAAGCGGACTGTATAGTCTCTGGACCCTCCATATCCTTCTGCCTCATCTCTCCCCTTCTGCTGCCAACTTTCTGCCTCTTCTTTATATATTAACCTCCCTCGGGGACCAGGAAGAAGAGAGGGGAGAGGTTAGGAAACAGAATCAGTCATGGTTCCTACCTACTACCATCTGAGAAACGTCAGTGCACAAAGCGATTTAAACTATTGGCCAAAATTATATTGGAGGGGTGGGAGGGTGAACAGGCACATAGCTTGCTTGCTTTCCCACTACTCTCAGGCTCCACTGAACATTAACCACAGTACAAAATCTCCTGATAGCTCCAGGACTCTAGAAATGCTCTAAAATACTAAACTTTGGCTCAGAGGGCAGGGGACAGCTAAGGCTGACAACTCTGACACCACCTCTGCCAGAGAGACTGTTCAGTCCCTCTCCCAGCCTTGCACACCGATCAGAAGGACACACCCAACTCCAATTTCATGGCAAAAGTGCAGGGCAACGGAAGGGACTAGAGTAAGGTGACCAGACGTCCCGCTTTTGGAGAGACAGTCCCGATTTTTAACAATTTTTAACAAAAAATCAGGACTGTCCCGCCAAAAGCGGGACGTCTGGTCACCTTAGGCAACTTTGGAAATAGAGAAATTAATGAACTGACCCTGGCCACAATGGCCAGCTTCAGCAAGTTATCGCTAATTAACGTTGGGGAGGGGAAGCAAGCAATTTTGTGAGCGCACCAGCTTTTACATGTGAAGAGCTATGTCCCAACAATGCCCAAGATCAAATCCACATACGGACCAGGGGGCAGTACTGCTCACCTGGGCTTCAGAGCATCCTCTCAAAGAGTGATGGGAACTCACTGCCATTTTCAAGCGTGTGGCAACAGCCCTAACCATTTATTGTTGTATCTGCTGCTGGTCATACAGCACGATGCTCTCCAGGGTGCGAAGGGCTTTATAAAATCTCCTAAGCCTAGGGTTCTTGGCTGTTCTTCATTAAGAATCTGGGATGGCCGAAACCGGTTTGGCTCAATGGATAGAGCGTCGGCTTGGGGACTGAAAGGTCCCAGGTTCGATTCCGGTCAAGGGCATGTACCTTGGTTGCGGGCACATCCCCAGTAGGGGGTGTGCAAGAGGCAGCTGTTCGATGACTCTCTCTCATCGATGTATCTAACGCTCTGTCTCTCTCCCTTCTTCTCTGAACAAAATCAATAAAATATATATATTTTTTAAATCTGGGATGGTGGCCCTGTCCAGGGCCTGGGGAAAGCAGGCTGCTCTGCATTTGACCTCTGGTCAAAGTAAAACGGTACAGATCCGTCCCACACCCGTGAGTAAAAAAGCAAATAGAAATGCTGTGTAAAACCTGCCGTTTTTATTCAAGGTTCTGAGTTCCCTGCAGTGTTTCTGAAAACTTGTGTTGGATGCATTAGCCAGAAACAAGTGGGCTTCATTTATACTTGTCTCATCAATTATAAATTCCTGCAGCCAGGAACTGTGTCCTCCTTGTTGTTTATCCAATGGTGACAAGAAAAATACTGGATATAAAGGCTGTGGTGAATCTGAAGCACACAGGATAAAATTCTGAGAAGCAGCACAGCACCATAAAATACCTATGCTCCATTTCTTGGAAGAAAATACTTTTTAAAAGGAAATTTTTTAAATCTGAAT